AGAATAGTAACACCTCGCGTTTGCTCAACAAAAATACGAATAAAAATAGTGCGATTCCATTCCACACTTTCATTCATGTAAAACACATTGTCACTGGACTTGAGTACAAAAGCAAATTGTAGCGATAGTACACATGATGTTCACCGTCGACTACTTCCATGGTTTCGAGTGTTTTGCGCCTTTACTACTTTTTCCTTTCGTTGCTGATCTGCTTTTTGCTACTGCTGAGGTGCTCAGACAGTACCTTTCTTGTGATCCAAGTGTTCCACCTGAGGTTATGGAGGCCGTAAATACTTCTAACTATCCATTTGTAGTGCTAATCTTAACCTTTTTATTTACTGCCTATTCTTTTTAACGGCAGGGTATGTTGCGAAATATAACTACTATAACGCTGAGATATTTGCAAAACTCCGGACCGCAGGTGTCTGCGGTGAGGAACGAACGCGCTATTATCCGTTCCAATTTGCCAACCTCGGAGGGATGGAGGGCTTGGTGGGCCTCAGGCGCGGGGATTGATTCCGTGTGTGTTGCCGGGGAGTAAGGCGTTCACGACCACACCATGCGGGTCCTTCGCCTCGCCTGTTTCTCAGCTAGTTCTATCGATCTTTTGCCAACAGCAATCACCCGTCAACGGGATTGACCCGGGGAGCCCAAATCGGCATTGAACACAATTGAGAGGCAGGGGAAACAAATGACCCTCATGTCGTACTGGTGAACGCGTTACTCTCCGGAAAGGAAAACAGCGGGTTCGTCCCCCACCACAGACACCTGGGATCCGGAGTTTTGCAAATATCTCAGGATTATTATAGTGATAGTGATAACGAATAATAAACACATAAGACGAAAGATCAAATTTTTTATACCAGGTTTAAATTTAAAACTTCAAATGGACTACGTACCGCTCACTGTGGTAATTTCCACATGAACCATCGGCATCCGGACATCGTCTAAGCTCGTTCATCTCGTTGCCACCGCATACCTTCACCATGCATCCCAGTCCATTCACTGCAATCGCAAGCGGTCTTCGATCGCCCTCGATTTTCATCAATGAAAAGATTACTGGTTGCGTTCCAAAACACAAACCTGCACGACATCGCTAGGCATCCATGGTTATTATGATTTTGACAAAAATGCTCGAAGCACCAGTCTTTCGATATTCTAACACAGCTCGCACATAGTTTGTATGCGTTTACAAACATTTTTCACGATATTTGAATCATCAGAGAATTTTACCGGCTATTCTTTTCCAAGATTTCGCTGACAGGCAGGAATTGATGTCAATATATTTTCTTTATAATCTCTTTACCGCAGAAATTTTCCTACAAACAGCTTTTGTATGCTCCCGATAGTCTTCCAACCACGTAGTTTGTACCTGGTCTTGTCCGAGAAAAACTACTCTATATACATTGTAGTTTGAAATTGTGGGAAATCATGTTCAGTCGCCCCGAAGCCAGTGGCGAATTGGGTGCAATTGGAGTCTATTGCTGGTGAGTAGCGTACTAAGATGTTTTCGCTGCATAAATACAACGATCAGAGTTTACATTAGATTAGTATATAAGAGCCTCATTCGAGGGGTGATCCACTGAATTTGATTCGATCACGAAGACCCAGATGGGAAGAAGGAAGAACAGTGGAAGATCGACTTGGACCAATCCGCCTCTGAGGAAGGCGAAGGCGCCGAAACGCTTGCCGAATAAACGTTTGGTAACAACCTCGTGTTGGCTTACCAATGAAATAAGGTATAAAGGTTAGAGTCCCGTAACGATTACTTCCTTAATGTGCGGAGAGAACAACCAACATTTTATAATGAGAAGGTTACTTAAAAGTAAAAGAAAGGAAATGCAATGGTACAGTGCCTGGCAAAAGTTAAGTGCATTCCTATGACCCAATCGAAGAAGATCAAGAGACTCGGCGTCAGTAAATCCCATATATAGGTGGTAAAGTGGTCGAAGCGCATTTAATCCAGCGCATTTCCTATTTAGTGCTTTATTTTGCTATATAGAATTTTTCTGCACTTTTTATACATAAACGGTAGCTTTCCCAACTTTCAAAAGGACGCCATTTTAACAGCTTCTGCAGACAAGTCCATTGAAAGGTAATTTTACTAATAATTAATGCGATTCTAATTCAAATCGCTGTAATGGGTCATGGATAGCCTATGGAATGATACATGATAGATAAAGAAGCGAGTAAACAGACAAATTGAATAATAAGCTGCGGAACACTTCTAAATATTCACAAGAATGTGGTTGTGTGGTAGACTGTAGTAACATACGGTAAGCAGCAGCGTACACACCATTTGCGCCCAAAAAGTGACAGAACAAAACTTCCTCCATAAGCTAGGCATTTTTTAACCCCTCAGGTCTTCTGGTTATAGGAATATTATCTATATGTTCTTATGAACTGATCTTGTTGAGATGATACGAAATTGGTGTAAGTTGTACTTGTTGTTGTTGGTCGATGGCCGACGTTTCGGCGCTTTCACCCTCCTCGGAGTTGCGCTGTCACGGGCGGAACTGCCTGCGTGTTGTTAACGCGGTATCACAATGAATGAAATATTATCGTTTATTGTCGAAAAACCAGCAAGTCAGTAACTACACAATATTAGAAACAACGGAAATTTGAGAACTGGATATTATGTACCCCAATGTAGAGAAAAAAGGAATTTGTCCAACTATAGTATCATCTGTAGTCCCGTTGAACGTCGACTGACTAGAGCGTGTGCCAGTAAATCTTCCGTTTTTTCTTGTGGCATGCAAGAATAGCCTAGTGGCATCTGCTCACTCTAGGAACTCGTTGAGCATCATATCTTTCCCCTTGGCTTCTCGTGAAGAACTCTGACCATCGGGTCAGTGGCCTACCTGCAGCGCGTTTAACACCCCGAGGAAACCACTCACTAATGGCTCTTGTCCATCGGTTGCCACTGATACGCATTACGTGTCCGGCCTACCTTATCTTTGACTGCTTGGAATACAGAACGGCGCCTTCGATTTTCGATCGTTGACTCAGATCGGAGCTTCGGATCCTTTCACTTACTTGTGTGGATACTCCTAGCACGCCCTTTCGACTGCACGTTCGATAACGCTGAGTGACCTTTCATCCTACTTACGCAGAGACCACGTTCCTGACATATACGTTAGGGCAGGAAGGACCCTTGAGTCGAAAAGATGGGCACGGAGTCGGGTGTTCTTTGCTCTCTTCGCTACCTCTTCGATGCTCTTAAAAGCTCCACAAGCCGCTCGTTTTCTTCTGCTCAAGTGTGGAGCTAAGTCGTTCATCACAAGTCGATTATAGTAACATCCAATTAGCAGAAGCGTGTGCAGCGTAGTGGTCGGAGGCGCCCTGCAATACACATGAGATCGATCCTAGCGCCCCAGGCTCACCAAGTCTTCCATCCCTCCGCGGTCCGCAAATTGCTACCAGATTTGTCTGGGAGGAGCGCAGCACTGGCTCGATACATCGGTAGACCACCGCGAGTCATTGTAAAGATCAGACATGCAATCAATCACTTCCAACGATACCGTTGGGAGGTAAAGATCTTCATAAGTTATCAAAATAGAGGTATTCAACAAATGACAGTTACACTAGTGGCTGAATCTTTTCGAGGTTGTAAAGTACCTTATTAGCATGGGTGTGTATCCTAGACTATCTTCGATCATAAATTAGGATAAGGCAAACCCTAAACCTAAAGTACCAGTCCTACAGCGATTCAGAACTACAGCTTGGACCACTACAAACAATTAGCCATCCGTTGTTTTTATCAATTTCCAATTAATTTCATTTGTGCACATTTCTAGTATGTGTTATCAACTTTCCATTGTGCAGCGTTCTTTTTAAACATATAATTATTTAAAGCCGAACTATGAAAAACGTGTTCAGCCTATTATATCATTTTCGACTGGTCGACCATGCAACTCAAAAGTCGTTGTCGTTCGAGAAGAATTCTTATCACAGTTAACAGACATCCCTCTCGTCCACAAAGCTTGTGGAATTACATTAGTGAAGGTCCAAGAGCGCTCTGGAACACACTAAAATGAGCGGGAAAGCCGAGGAAAAATTATGTCAAACCACAACTAAACCCTCACATGAACCCATTCACCTCTATGAGTGTTTGGTGTAAGACAATGAAGCCAATTGACGAAGTGCAGCGAGCCCTACGACATGCGAATAACAGTCAGCCAAAAAACTAATTAAGTCCATAGTTTTCGAAAATTTTATTTATTACTTATTTTACGCGATCCGTCATCATATCTACTGTGTGGACCCCAGCACTTCTTGCATTCGATTTGTTTTCCTTGCATCCATCCTTTACAATGGTCTTCGAACAATTCGTGTGTTATTTCAGCTGCTACTTGAGGATTTCGTAGTCTTTACGAATGTCGTAGAATGCTGGTCGATTTGATTCACCTCGCAGTCTTGGAGATATCCAGGGTTAGGGTTCCAAGGCGGAATGGAAGAGAGTGTTGCGGAGGAGGTCGAACTAGCGCCTTTGCTTTCTGGTCGACGGCGTGATGAACCACCGCATTGCACCACCTTTTTGAAAAGAGAATTGAAAAAGGCTTGCTCACGAAACCCTCTCTTTAAAAATTTCCTTTTGTGAGGAATATTAAATTTAGACGATGATCTATGGAATTAAGCGCCGTAGATGTGAAAAAGTCCACCTCGAACATCTCAGTCAAAATAACCAAGTGTTCTTTAGTTTCTCGGAGTCTAATTGATGAAATTCGCCTTGGAAGGAAATAGCACAGAATTGTTAGTTTGCTCTAAAGCGAGTGATGAATACCAACTAGTTGATTGGCCTGGTATCTGTTTCGTTGCCACAGATTTCGTGTCAATTTGCTACAATCGCTAATAAAAGGAAAATTCTAGAAAATTATTTCTGTAGCACTTGTCAGCATTGAACTCTTCGTACACTGGCAATCTACGCAGTCTATAACACAAATCAGCCGATCGTTCGATTGTGGCCCTCCAGATTAGTGAGTGAAGGCAGGGAAAATCAAGTCTTGAAGAGCGCTATATTGTGGAGAATTAAACAATCATCATGAAATTCATTAACTAATCTTCGTCAGGCAATCGTGCAGGCTCGTTCGGGTTCGACTATATAGTCTATCCATAATTACATTGTGGCCATTTTGCATGTGATCCAGTGTGCTAGTAGACGGAACAAGTTAAAGTTGTACTAGTAATACATTGGCCTTGTTGTCGTTCCAGTTTCATAAAAGATAAGTGACACTGTCGGCCCATAGGGACAAGAGTGGGCAGAGAGTCAAGAAACGTTCGATCGGTCAATACATAAGGGAGGAGCCGTGCCATTGATTCCATTGACTTTCTGGAGCCTACTAAAGTGTAAAATCAGTGTTCTACCCTTCCAGTCAAGTCTATCACAAATTTACCGAATACAAAGCGGTGGCGTGTTTGGTAGTCGGGTGTGAGATTGAAGTAGAAACCGCGTATGTACTGAAGGACTTGTCTAACTACTGCGCTACACGACCTTTGAATGGATACTACACTTGAATAATTGCGGGAGCATTTGCAAGGACAGAGTTCCAGGCACTGGTTGAGATTCTTGCCTAAATATTCGATGAGCTCATAGCTGGCTAAACGGATTAGCAGCTAATTCACTATATGCTACGACGTCCAGCAGTGCACAACCTAGCATCCCAAGATTTTTATTGAAAGTGGCTAAATGGACGAATAGAAGAGAAAAAACGGCGACAATTAGAAAACACAACTTACTACAGTCGAAAACCACCTTGAGATGGATGAAAAATGATGTTGATGGATGACGAAGAATTTCTCCCTTATTCATAAACGCAACTCTCCTACTACTAGGCTTAAGAGGTAGGGACATCGTCGATAGAAATGGAGCTATTAGAACTCCTTAATGATCATGGAGATAAGCAGTGGAAATCACTCTATTTCTTTCTAGATTTACAAAGTTATAGTTTTTATAATATTTAGTGATAATAGTAATATTTAATAATACGATTAATATACCGTGAACATGATATCTCGAAGCATTACTTTGATTTATTTTATATTACA